CGTTCCTTTTTTAAATGCAAGTACCAAAGAAGTTTTATTCCTTCAATTTTTTAAGGAATAACATAGACAAAGATGATTTAGTTATCATACATCATAAATGATATATATTAAATGTATTCATCTTATATAGACGATGTAATTCATTTAAAAGATTACATATCTTCATAACTAATCATTTATTTGAATTTGTATTACTATGTAATATGAAAGATCATTTCCTTAACAAACGCGTCTAAGTTTTTTTAACATTAAAACTAATGCTTTCAGAAATCTAAGATTATCTTTTGATCTAAAAGAAATTTGAATGTCTAAAGTTAAGAAAAGGAAGAATACCAAGAAGAAAATAAGAAAAAAACTTCTTAGCCATTTGGGAAGACCTTGATAGTAATAACAACAACTCAAATTATGAAAAGGTTATCATTTATTTGATGGTTGACATAAACAAAACTAATTCTAATGTACATTAATAAAAAAATCAACCTCATTTTAGTTTGTTTGATACCTTTGAGTTTTCTTAAGATGATAAAAAAGATGTCATATGACATTTCTAGCAAATTGTCACATGTTCTATTTTGACTGTAAGAAATATAAATAAAAATACATAGAAGTATTTCCAAAAAATGAAAAACTTAAGAAAGACATAGAAAGTATAATCACTAAAACAACACTCTCGGGTCTAGTGTATAATCATGCTAAAAGTTCCAACAAGGAACTAACTTCATCTAAAGTTGAAAAAATGAAAGATGTAAGTACCACTCTTAAAAGGGATCTTGCCAAAGTACAAATGATTTTAAAATAGAAAAGACCTTCAATTAATAAATCTGACATTGGCTATGATACAAGGAATGATAAAAAATAAATAAATAAATAAATAAACCTTCCTTTCTTATATCTAAAGTCTCATTCTTGTTGTTGTACCTTTTGCGGCAAAATGGATCACTTTGTCTTCCATAAAAGGAAATAAAGGTCGATTAAGACCAAAGAACCTAACAAAAATAGATTTAGATATTAAAATCTCAAACAGTTCTCATTGTATATATCCTTAATAGAGAAAAAAATGATTCCTTATAGTAATTTAATAGTGGATGCTCATGAAACATAACAAGAGAAATGTCTATGTTTCTTGACCTTAAGACCAATGAAGATATTGTTTCCTTTGGAGGAAGTGACAAAAGAAAGATCAATGGTATGAATGTAGGAAAGCCTCATCTAGCTTCTATTGATAATTTGTGTATGTTAAAGGACTAAAATATAACCTACTCAACATAAATCAATTTTGTCATAATAGGATTATTGTCTTATTCTATAAATATTTATACATAGTCAGACATAGTGATGACTTCATATTATTTTCTACCTAAAGACACAACAATCTTTATAAGATTGAAATTGAGGGTCTAAACAATTAGAATGTAACATGTTTAGTTTTTAGAAAGGATAAAATAGGAAAATTTGGCAAAAGAAAAAGTTTGGACATCTAAATTTGAAACATTTCAAATCTTTAGAAAAAAAAGGGATGTAACACAACTGCTTAAAATTTATTGAGAAACTCATCTTATCTATAAAACATGCTAAAAAGGAAAATAAATAAACCTATTTTACATCCAAAAATGTTGTTTTTATTTCTTGAATTCTTCTATAATTGTTACATATGAATTTGTTTTGATCATTCTATATATATATATATATATATATATATATATATATATATATATATATATATATATATATATATATATATATATATATATATATATATATATATATATATATATATATATATATATATATATATATATATATATATATATATATATATATATATATATATATATATATATATATATATATATATATATATATATATATATATATATATATATATATATATATATATATATATATATATATATATATATATATGTATATGTATAGTTTCTAACTCATAAATATGAGTCTTTTAATGTCTATGAGTGTGTTCAAAATAACAAAAAAAATGGTTTTTGCATAATTGGTATAAAAAGTGGCCATAGGACTAAATTTGACAACATTAAGTTCAAAGCATTTTTGTGAAATGAATGATATTTTTCTATAACTTCTCTTCATTGAAAATACCTCTACAAAATGGAATAGTTGAAAAGAAAAATAAAACTCTACAAGAGATGGATAAGACCATGCTTTATCAAAATTCAATTTCTAAGCACCTTTAGACAGAAGTTGTGAACAATACTTGTTGTGTTCAAAACAAGATATTGATCAATAAGTCTCCATGAAAATAGTTATATATTCAAAGGTTTACACATGAGTTTGTAAATGTTATAAAGGTCTGATATTATGTATACATAACTCTAGAAGTATAAAATGTTATATATATATATATATATATATATATATACACACACACACACACACACACACACATAGGGGAG